GTATCGCCAGTTAAAACACAGTTCGCACCTGCCAGGGAGGGGGGAAGCTGGTACAGAGGGTGGAGTGAGAGACACATCACACCTGTGTGGGCTCTGCTGCACTGCAACATCGCAAGAGCTGAGCACGCAGGAGTCTCTTCCCACAGGGTATCTGCTGCAGGCCTGGTAGCTGTCTGGGACAGACTCCTCCAGCGTTAATGGCTTCCCGTCTCATAGACCACAGTCTTTGCTGAGAAAGCACCTTCCCACTCCTGATGTGTCCTTCCATAGGACAGAGTCCAGCACATTTGGGTTGGTACTTTTGGCTTCTCCCCAAGCCTTGGCTGATTGACTGATGATTGGGGGTCAGGGAGGGGGACGGACTAGGCATATGACACTGAGCCTCCTTGTTCATTTTCCTGGGAGCCTGCCCACTGCAGTACCTGCTTGGCTTTGCTGTAACACAGCACTCGGTGTGTGCGCTGGGAAATTCACCAGGGCTTAGAGAGAGGAATGGAGCCACATTTAGAAGCATAGGCTTTCCCTCCTGAGGATCTGGGTGTGATTTACAGCACTCACTACCATCTGTAACTTCAGTGCCAGGAAAACCCAACGCCTTCTTCAGGACTGAACAGGCCCTACACTACCATGGTGCACACTCAGGCAAAACACCAATATATAAGCAATTGAAAGATAAAAAGTGAGGATTGGAGAGATGACTCAATGGTTAAGAGCATTGACTGCTCTTCCAGAGATCCTGAGTTCAAGTCCCAGCAACTACATGGTGGCTCACAGCTATCTATAATGAGATCTGATGCCCTCTTTTTGACTATGCAGGCATACATGCAGACAGAGCACTCATATATAAATAAGTCTGTTTGTTTATAACCATTCAAAATTGGGCTTCAATGTATAGCCCTGGCTGTCCTGGAACTCACTCTGTAGACCAGGCTGGCCTCGAACTCACAGAGATCCACCTGCTTCTGCCTCCCAAGTGCTGGGATTAAGGGTGTGCATCTTTTGACATAACTTGAAGTAGAAACTTAACGGTTCTTTGGAAAGTCATTTGGATGGTGTTTTGCTGGGAAGACTCATGAAGGAAGATTTAGCTGAAGCAGACACAGGTGAAAGGATGTTTTGCTAAAACGAGCAGGTGAAAGGACATGATGAAAGTTTCTTTCCTAACAACATGCATGTATCAGTCTGCCTTACATTGCATAGTTGAGTTGCATTTGTGGAGACTCCATAGAGAGAAACACACCAAAAAACTTCTAGTGGTATGCTGCAGTTTGTTGCCGCTTCCTAGGACTTGGGCTGATTGGCAGAGTGATGTCAGCTGAGACAAACACATGCTGAGTCAAGACCTGTGGAGGACACGTGATGCTTGGAGGGACTAAAGAGGACTCGGCGGACAGTGATGGAGGCTGAGCTAGGCTTGCTTATACAGCTAGCTGTGCAATGCTTGTGGGTCTCTTGTCTTCGCTGATCTTCACTTCCCTGAGAGAGGCACAGCCGAGAACTCTCCTGGTGTCCCTCATGGTCCCTCCTGCTGAGGCCTGGTTGTGTCTGCTAAGTAGTGCCACTGCTGCTGATTCCTGTTTGCTATCCGACTCTACTGAACTGGACGGCTGGTGTATCCATGAAGCGTTTGCGAGTGGCTGGAGCTGCTGCTGCTGACCTGTGAACTGAACTGAACTGCTGATTTCTAAACAACAGACAGGAGTTGCTCCAAAGAACCTTTCTAAACAGGTTCACTTCCCCCAGATCCTTTCTTTTCCACTACCTCTGGTGGGTAGTGAGCTACAAGGGAAGTTAAAGCATTTAAGAACCGTCATTAAAGCCAGGCAGTGGTGGCACACGCCTTTAATTCCAGCACTTGGGAGGCAGAGGCAGGTGGATTTCTGAGTTTGAGGCCAGCCTGGTCTACAGAGTGAGTTCCAGGACAGCCAGGGCTACACAGAGAAATCCTGTCTCAAAAAAAAAAACAAAACAAAACAGAACCATCATTAAAAATAGGTGTTTGGAAAACAAAATAAAGTTACAATAACTGACTTTCCAAAGGAACCAGAAGTTTCCTCATTAGTTCACACTTGCTAACTGTGATACAGACATGTCCTCTGCACACATTCACACACAGTAGATAAACAAACAAAGGGGTGGCTATCTGTGCTGGAAAGATACCTCAGTGATTAAGAGCACTTTCTGTTCTTGCAAAGGAACCAAGTTTCCCAGCACCCACATCAGGCTGGCACCGTAACAGCCTGAAACTCCAGTAACCAGGGAGTATGATGCGCTCTGGCCTCTGAAACTCACTCAGACAAATACACTCATACACATAATGTTGAATATTAAATAAATTTTTATTTTATGTATAGGGGTGTTGTGCCATCATATATGTATGTGTGTATGTATGTATGTATGTATGTATGTACACTATTAGTGTGCCTGGCATTCATGGAGGCAGAGGAGAGCATCAGATCCCCTGACACTGGAGTTAACAGACGGTTGTAAAGCACCATTTGGATGCTGGGAATCAACTGCTCTTACTCTAGGAGCCACATCTCTAACCTCTAGAAGATCTGTTTTTAACAGGGTCCTCCAGGTCAGCTCCTGGCCTAGGTGTAAGGCAGGGAGAGAGGAGGTCATGGATGTTCAAATATGCAGCAAGAGAGTGTGGAGGACAAGCTTCAGTCCCAATGCTCCATTTGTATGAGGAAGCACTTGGTAACACCTCCTGTACTCCCCTGAAACGGCAATCATAAATGATATGCCTGTCCATATGCTTAATTGTTTAAATATTATAATATCCCACCTATGCTAGGGGGAAGAAATCAAAAGAAAACAATTTATTACTAGAAAGCACATATTTCAAAATGTCGGGGGCCAGGTCCTACAGCCCTAAAAATCTAATGAAGTGTCAAGCGCTTGCCCTGCCTATGATGAATAAGTCAGACACTAAGAACAAGAAACATTTAGAAATAAAGACATGCAGAAATATACTATGCAAAGCCAGAGTAGGTAATAATTTAAGTGTGTGTGTGTGTGTTTCAAACTGAAAAAAAAAACCTACTTTTCTTGGGTATTTTATACACAGGAAAGGGACTCGTGTTCTGGGCTGAGGTCAGTAGGGTTTCATGCTGAGATATTCTAGGTCAGTAAACAGCAGCAATGCCTGCCAGTCACTGTGTAATCAAGCCATGCGCCCTCACGCTGGAGAGATGGCTATGTGCACAAAGGCACTTGCAGCCAAACAATATGACCCGTGGTATATGCCAGGAGCCCACGTGGTGGAAAGAGAGAACTGGATCCTGCAAGTTGCCCTCTGCCCTACATAGCATGCCATGACATGCATGTGCTCATATGCATTTATACGTGAGAACGAGTAGATGTAACACTTATGCCTTCTGTTACCAGAGCCACAAGCACCGACTCCCCTCCCACAACAATACCGCCTTAACAACTCCTACCCCACCCCAGGGATGGGAAGAAAACATACCAAAATATTAAGAGTGATTTTCTAAGGCAGAAGGTGGATTACTAGTAACACGTCAATCTTTGCCTTCCCTTCTTTCTTACATATCTGTTTAGTATAAACATTTGCTTAGACCCGATACTGACTTCGCAAGCCTCAAAGACAGCTATTTTGGAAAATGGCTCAGAGCTCCCTCTAGCGTGCGTGTTTGTTCTGTTCCCTTGAAGGAATAAGCAAGTCTGCGGAGAGGAAACAAGCCACTGATTAACTTTTGCAAGTGCCCAGCCACACAAAGCCCACAATTCAGGGGACCCGCCTTTCAAAGCAACTGGCCCAAGGCTCCCACTGAGCTCACCCCAGCCCTGCCTGCGCTGCCGCCCGGTGGCCAATGGCGGTACTGCGTCCCAGACAATGAGCTGCTGATCGGAAGGCCTGCATCATTGATCTTTCAATTTTTTACCCCTGTCCACTTCAGCAGTGTGAAGAAGCTTTCAGATCTCTCTCTCTCTCTCTGTCTCTCTCTCTCTCTGTCTCTCTCTGTCTCTCTCTCTGTCTCTCTCTCTCTCTCTCTCTCCCTCCCTCCCTCCCTCCCTCCCTCCCTCCCTCCCTCCCTCCCTCCCTCTCTTTCTTTCTCTCTCTCACAGAATAATGGCTCATATGCATAGGAAACAAATTCAGGCGTTTACAATAAACAAGGGCCGACAAGATGGCTCAGAGGGTAAAAGGTTCTTGCCATACAAGCCTGGTGACCTCAGTTGGATTCCTGGGCTCCATGAAAAGGTTGAAGGTGGACTCTACAAAGTAGTCCTCTGAAAATATAACTTTAAATATTTAATAAACTAAAACTAGAGTGCTGGAGAGGTGCCTCAGCGGTGAAGAGCACAGGTTGTTCTTCCAGGACCCTGGTTCCATTCCCAGCACTCACATGGTGGCTCATAGCCACCTGTAACTTCAGCCTCAGGAAATCCAGCGCCCTCTTCTGGACGCTGTGAGAACTGTGCACACATATTGCACAGATGTATGCAGGCAAACCATTCATGCACATAAAAAATAAATAAAATGGAAAAAATAAGCTTAAATTAAAATGCTAAAAATAGGAAAATAGCTTTAAACAAATTTTCAGTCAACAAATATGCTTCCATTTTTAGTACTTTAATACTCAGATCCAAGGGCAGGTCAAAAAACTAATAACTTCCCCATTAGTGAAGTATTTGGGAATATCAGCAATAACTGATTGCACCAGAGTTTGTGTGTGATTCTTAGAGTAACAGTGTCAGGTTATGCACACCTCTGGGAATTCTTAATAGAAGGCAAAACAATATATCAGAGGTTCCCAAAGGCCATGATACAAGTTTTTCCCATCAGAGCCTGAGATTCCTGAATTACACCAGCAAGTCACAGATTAAGGCTAAGTAGGGGCTGGAATTTGGATGGGCCTGCAGGCTGTGGTAACTGGCACTGGGTAGCAGGGGGAACAGAGTAAAGAAAAAAGCTGAAGGACCTCCAAGGCAGAGCTGGACATAGTGACCCGCCCCCACCCCTCCCTTCCTGGTTCCACTCTGGCAGAAGCTAACACTCGGAAGAGTTCCCCATTGCAGGCATCTGCAGTGTCCAGCATCCAGCATGAGGCCTCTGGTGCTGCTGTGGGGCTGCCTGGTGCTCCCAGGTGAGGGGGGGACGGAGGTGGCAGGGATGGAGGGGTGTATAGATGCAGGCTTGAGCTCGCTTTTGTGGTTTGTAGTTACTCTTTCCCTCCACACCGTGAGGAGATGGGGGTGGGGTGGAATAGCTCTCTATTTCACTCCAGACAACCCATCTTCAGTTCAGCAGCCCTGAGCCCAGCACTTGCTACTTTTGTGCTCGGACCCAGGGTCTTTCTCCCTTGGGTTCCCTGGCTCTGCAGGTGTAAATGGAGCAAAGCCTCTGTGACTGTGGGGCAGCGGCGCTCATCCACTTCCCTGTTAGCTCAGCTAACTTTGTTGGATTCTTCCTCAGTTTACCTTTTCTTTCTTTGCTTTAATTCTTTTCTTGCTTTACTTTTTAATTTTATTAGTGTGTGTGTGTGTGTGTGTGTGTGTGTGTGTGTGTGTAAGAGAGAAAGAAGAGGAGGGAGAGAGGGAGTGTGTGTGTGTGTGAAAGGTCAGAATACATTTGGGTTCTCCCCTTCCACTTGCAGGGGGTCAAAATCAGGTTATTGGGTTTTCACTGAAAGAGCTCTTACTGCTGAGTGTGTGTGTGTGTGTGTGTGTGTGTGTGTGTGAGAGAGAGAGAGAGAGAGAGAGAGTATTGAAGTATATGTATGTATATATATGTATACACACATACATACACATACATACATACATACATATGCACATACATATTTATAAAATGTGCATTCACTGCAAGAGGGCAAAGGGTTGAACTGTAACTGACTGTCACCCACAAGGAAGCTTTCTTTACTTTTGTAATTTTTATCTTTTCTTTCTTCTTGGCAGTGCTTGGAGTAGGGGTGGAACCTTGGCCCTGGAGCGCGCTAAATGAGTGCTTTGCCACTAAGCTATAGCCCCACCCCTCTTCCCGTTTTATACTTCAGAAAGACTGCCCTTGAACTTGCTCTGATTCTACGTAGCTGGGATCTTAAGAGTGCCCACCGGGCTGGGCTCATCAGAATGCATCTTAGAACAGACATGAGTTGCTCAATTGGCCACATTTGCTTGGTTTTCCCTTAATAATATATAAAATTCACTCATACTGTTTTTAGGTTTTTTGTTCCATGGGTTTATCGTATGCATACACATAGAGCGTGCATTTGCACATGAGTGCTGTAGTACGCATGAGGTGGGTCAGTGGATAACTTTTGGGAGTCTGTTCTCTCCTTCTGGAGGTTTGAACTCAGGCTTAGCAGCAAGCACCTCTACCCCTTGAGCCATATGGCCAACTTGGCTTGTGTCTCTCAAATGACACATTTGTTCTAAGGTTCCCCAGAGGAAGGGAAAACCCTGGGGTTTTATGGGGTGCCCAAGATGTTCTAACAGAAAGACTGCCTTCCTCCCCGTGAGATGGGAACGTCTGTTCTTGTCCTGGTGCTTGGATCCGTGGAAATCCCATCTCCCTTTCACGCTGCATTTTCAGGTTATGAAGCCCTGAAGGGCCCAAAGGAGATCAGTGGGTTTGAAGGTGACACCGTGTCCCTGGAGTGTACCTATGAGGAGAAGATGAAGGAGTACAGGAAGTATTGGTGCCGGCGAGGTGGCATTCTGTTGCCCCGCTGCAGTGACATTGTCTACACAAGTCAGGACCAGGAGCGAGGCATGATGTCCATCCGAGACAACCCCCAAGAGCTCTCGATGACCGTGACCATGAGGGACCTTACCCTGAAGGATTCAGGGAAGTACTGGTGTGGAATTGACAGACTGGGCCTCGATGAGTCTTTTGAGGTCACACTCACTGTCTTTCCAGGTAATGAACAACTCTCTTCCCCCTGCCTGGGAGGTGGGGTGAGGGGGTATAGGGGAGCCGAGGGCAAGAGCATCTGGACCGTGGCTTCAGTTTCCCCAACAGAAGGGGGCAGTCTTGGTACCAACCTCAGTACCAACCTCACAAGGCCTCTCCAGGACTTGGGGAGTCAGTAGGGACACCTGCTGAGCACTGGGGACAACTTAGGAAGCCTCAGTGTGCCTCTGTTCTGGCGAGTCTGCCTGTTAGGTTCTCATAGAGCACAAAGGAGCTATACTTGTCATTCTTGGCCTACACATGTTAAGGGAGACGACCATGGGATGGGGACAAGATGACCATCGCAGGGGACAAGGAAGGACCTGCATGTTCCCTGTGTCACAAATATCCCCCATAGCCTCCCGAGGCCAGGCCAGCTATGGCTGCACCCCAGACCCGGCCCACAGTGTCCCCTAACCATGCACTGGCATCATCAGGCTAATGTTCTCTGTACACTCTTTTCACTTCTATATCCTGGGGAAACCCAGGAAAAGGACAAGAGGGGCCAGGGTACAGGCAGCCCTGTCTCAGGTCTGTGAGAGCTAGGTAGTTCTCCATATGATCACTTCACAAATGGGGCACGGAGACGCCAAGACTCTCAGCTTCTGACCTAAGGTTGAGGAAGCAGAGCAGGCAGGATTCAAACCCAGATCACTGCCATCTTTCAAACAGATGGGCCCAGGAGCCAGGACCCATCCTAAGCCCAGGTCTGTCCTCAGAGCCGGTTCTCTATCACCAGTGGGTCTCTGTTACAATGCATGAAAATAGAAGCAAGCTGTACAGTCACGATAATATCAAAGCCTCATGGAGACAGGGCATGGCTCAAGGGGAGAGCATTAGCCTGGCACATGTGAGACCCAGGGTTCCATTCCTAATGCTGTAACAATAAAGCAACACCGGAAAGTAGGCTCTGTTATCTGAAAGGTTCTCCAATTAACTCCGGCCCTCATCAGTGCAAAACTGTTTAATTTTGATTACCGCTGTCTTTACTTGATTTTTTTTGTCTATTTTACCCTTTAGTTAGATGGTTTGATTAGCATTGTCTTTATTTTTTTTATTTATTTTACTTTTTAGACACAGCATCTCACTATGTAGCCCTCTCTGGGCTAGATCTACAGAGATCTACCTGTCTCTGCCTCCTGAGTGCTGAGACGAAGGTCCTACGCCACCACACCCAGCTTAGTGTGCTCTAGCTTGGAGACGCTTGCGTCTGTCCTTTCCCTCAGATCTCAGTCACATTTCTGTGTGTGATCCAAGTGTTCTCATCCTCCCAAGTCAGAGCTGGCTGGCTTCTAATGACAGTTTATATTAACAATGATGAGGGCTGTGCAAGTGGCTGCCCCATGGCCCCTGGGGACACTGGCTTGCTGGAACAAACACAGGAAGGAGGCGTTTTCCTAAAATGGACACAGGTGAAAGGCTAAGGCAAACTCGTGAAGGAATATTTCACTGAAGCAGACACAGGTGATTTCACTGAAGCAGACACAGGTGAAAGCATGTTCTGCTTTAGCAAGATCTATACTGTTTATGGGTTTCTATTTTGGCAGCACGATTTCTACCTGCCAGTCATTTAACAACCAGCTCCCAGATTTCCTGAAGAGTTAACAGTCCAGAGTGAAGCAGCTGCTTCCAGGGCCGAGTGAGGCTGAGCACACGTACAATTGCTTCCTCCATCCCTTATCCTCTGAGACCCAAGGCAATGGACAGCAACTTAGAAACACACCAAATAGAAACTGTTTTTTATTTACAGAAGATTATGTCAGCTACTTAGGAAAAAAACATGTGCCAGGCACACCTTAGAACAGAGACTAGACAGCAAGCCCGGAATGACCAGGCTGGGAGTGGTCAGAGAGACTCAGGGATGCTAGCCCTTGAGAAATCCCAGTGCCATAGGAGACCCTGCAAAGTCATAGTCTAGTCAAAGTGGGCACTCGCTCCCCTGGAGGCAAGCACAGGATACTGGGGTACACAAGGAAAGGTGAATTCTTCCGTATTACTGGGGCTTAACTTTTGATCTGATGATGGAAAGCGGAGTGGGGTAGGGGATGGGGGACAGGCTTTAGGCAGAGATGTAAGAGAACGGTTTCACAGGGAGACAACATGGCAAAGGCACAGCGGTAGAAACGGTGACCCTGAACACAGGGCATCTCTGAGTGGCTCGGTGAGTCCCGCATGGGAAACGGATAACTTTGACCAGATGACTTGAAGTCTGAGTCTCAAAGGCCTTGAGAGACACACTAAGTAAGCAGATGGCATTCCAGCTCACGGCTGCTGGGGGACACTGACTGCTCCCAAGCAAGAGGCGACAGGATCAGAGGTGTACAGGTGTCCCTGCAAAAGGAGCATGAAGGGAGCGGGCTGGGGCAAGGGACACACATGTTCCAATGAGAGTCCGGTGTGGACAGCAGGTGGGGAAGACCTGGGACCCGCTGGGACCCGCCAGTATGGCTTCTGATTAGCTGGAGTCAAGGATGGCACTTCTGCTGAGGGGGTGGGGGGAAGCTGCCCACTATAGCAATGTCTGCCTCCCCTGAGAGCAGCCTTTCCCTTTCCTCTAGGAAAAAGGGACAGTCCTGTCCCTGCTGGCACCTGCTGTCCTTCTCCCACCCCCTCCTTCCAGCCTCTTACACCTACATGGAGCCTGCAGCCCAAGGCAAAAGCCTGGCAGACTCAGCTCCCAGAACTGAGTGAGTCAATGCCTTTTCCTGCCCCTCCCCCACTCCAGAAAATACACAGTGAGGGCCACCCAGATGTTCCCCAAAACCAAGCCACAATGCTCAGGGTCAAATGGGAAGTGGCTACTAATGAGCCCAAAGCTCTTCCTCTAAGATCTGGGTGAGCTGGGCCTTGGCCTCATCTTTCCCGCCTTTCCCTGCTGAGTCTTTGGCAGCTGAAGGAGGTCAGGTCTTGCTGAAGAATAGAAGTCAGAAGGCCTGTGCTGGGCAGCATGGAGGACGTGCTCTTTGGTCAGAGAGGAAGTGACCCTGGCCTGGACTAAGAGAATCAGGGAGGTGTCTAGGGAGTGGTGTAGAACAGGGTCTTGGGGGTAGGGTCCTCTCAAAGACAAATAGCTTATGTGTAGATGTACCTGGCCTGGGTCTTCTTGTTCAAAGAGGCCTCATCTAGGCCTCTGCTTGCCTCCTGGGGAGGGTTTTAGTTGAGGATGTCCTGAGATTGGGAAGGTTCATGTTCAAAGGTCAGTCTGGGAGGGGCTAAGGGTCAGGGAAAGTGCTGAAGCATTGCTTTTGGACTTGTAGCTTCTTCTGGTCTCCACTCGACAGTCGTCACGGCCAAACAGGGGAAGACAGGGGTCAAAGCCCCTGTATTCACCGAGGCGGCCCCAGCCTGGTCTACACGAACTTCCCAGGGTCCCTCAGGAATCTCTCCATATGCTGGGAGCTCTCCTCACACAGCAACCCCAACCCGATCTGCAGGAACCTCCCAGGTTCCCCCAGGAAGCTCTCCATATGCAGGGAGGTCTCCTCACACAGCGACCTCTCCTCATGCAGGGAGCTCCCGCCCAGTCATCTGGCTGCCCCTCACCACACCAAAGGACTCCAGGGCTGCAGCCAGCAGCGTCTCCAAGCCCAGGTGAGTCCAGGGGACCCAAGGTCATTCTCTTCCCTCCACAAAGACACATCCTCTTATCCCTGGCCATGGCCTCTGACTCAGAGGGCAGATTGCAGACCTCATTTTCATCTTGAGGACTCTCAAACAGCAGCCCTACTGCACTGGACATACAAGGCCATCTGAGGTGAAGGGGCCACCTCGATCCCCGAACTCCCCTTTCTTCCTGCTCAAGCCACCCCAGCTCCAGGGTTTCTCTGTCTACTTTGTCCTGAGCCCTGTGCTATTGGCTGTCCTCCAGCTCCCTGTGTAGCGAAGGATGACTCTTAGCTCCCAACCTGCCTGCCTTCACTTCCCAAACGCAGGGATTACAGTCATGAATAACCCCGCCTGGCTTTATACTAAGAACCTGAAACTTCCCAACACATGGTCCTCACATCCCTGCTTCACAGGAGGTGGAACTGGTGGTCTGGAAGGTTAAGTCACCTGTCCCTTAAGTGTTAAGACCAGGGTTTGAAGCCAGGAAGCCTGGATTTGGGGTCTGAGTACCCTGGCAGTCTTAGCCTGGTTGACTTAGATTCCAGGTTGACTTTCTCAGCTTATGGGTGGGATTCAAAGATGTAAGTAGCTGATCTGATAACAAACAGCCAACAGGCTCCTTCCGTCTCTCCTCCAGTGTGTCCATCCCAACGGTCCGCATGATGGCTCCAGTCCTGGTACTCTTGTCTCTGCTGCTGGGTGCAGGACTAATTGCCTTTGGCAGCCACATGCTCCGGTGGAGAAAGAAAGGTAAGTGATTGAGGGGGAGAGGGGAGGGGGAGGCTCACCGCACATCTGTGCTGTCATCAGCCTCAGCCTCGGTAAGACAAGCAGACTTCAAGGCGTCTGACAGCCTTACTGTTCACTGCGCATAGTGGTACACGCCTTTAATCCCAGCATTTGGGAGGCAGAGGCAGGAGGATTTCTGAGTTTGAGGCCAGCCTGGTCTATAGAGTGAGTTCCAGGACAGCCAGGGCTACATAGAGAAACTCTGTCTTGAAAAACCAAACCAAACAAAGAAGCAAACAAACAAAAACAACAACAACAACAACTTAGCTGTGAGAAGCCAGCACTGGGAAGAACAATTAAAATGGGGAGTGGGAATTTCCTGACATGAAAGTTAAAAGAAAATGCCTTTCTTGGGATGGGGAGGCAGGAAGGTCAGGCGCTTAAGGCCAGTCTTGGATACGTAGTGTGTTCAATACCAGCCTTGAATATCTGAGACTCTAAATAATTAAAGTAAGGAAGAAAAAAAAAACAAGAAGCAAACAGAACAAAGGAGCTAGCAAAGTTGATTTTAAGAAAACAGTTTATTTAATTCAATATACCTGTCATGTCAATTCAACATGGAACTAATATTCAGACATTAAAGAAGGCTGGAGAGATGGCTCAGAGGTTAAGAGTACTGGTTTCTCTTCCCGGGGTCCTGAGTTCAATTCCTAGCAACCACATGGTGGGTCACAACCATCTGTAATGAGATCTGGTGCTCTCTTCTGGCCTGCAGGCATGCATGTAGGCAGAACACTGTATATATGGTGGTGGTGGTGGTGGTGGTGGTGGTGGTGGTGGTGGTGGTGGTGGTGATAAAAACATTGCAGTTGTAAGCCTGTGGTCTCAGCTACCCAGATGAAAGCAGGAGGAGCAGTTGAGTCAGGAACCTGAGAGCAAGCAGCCTGAGCAATACAGCCAGACCCCATCTCAAAACCTTAATGGAACTTGAAGATCACACCCTACATTCTTTTTCTCATGATGAGCCTTTGGAAGCTTAGGTATAATTGCAAATGACCACATTCCGGTGCTGGGTGACAAGTGTGGCCTCTGTGCTAGGTGGCACAGGCCAAGGAGATCCGTGTGGGTTGGTTGTTTCTTTGGTCTTCTGAAAAGATACATCGTGGTGAGACCAAAACTACCTGCCTCATGACTAGGAAGTAAAAAGGAAACAGAGAGAGTCCCACAGCCCCCTCAAAGACACGCCCCAATAGCCCAAGACCTCTCCTAGATGCCGCCTCTTACAAGTTTTACCACTTCTCAACAGTGCCAAGTTAGGGACCAAGCATCCAACGGGACAGTTAAGACCCAAGCTGCCGATGTCCCCTGTGATGCTCAGATTCGAGAGGTGAACAGTTTCCTTGATCACGTTCTAGCTCACACAGATCCCAAAGGTCGGCTCCTTCCTACAGGGCTGAGTTAGGGCTCCCTGCTTCAGGACCTCTCAGCTCTCTCTGGGAAGCCCTCATACACCAGTGACACAAATCTGTGCATTCTGGGAAGGGCTTAAGTTCTTCCTGGCCTCAAGGATCTCTTTCTGGATCTCTTTCAGTTTGGCTGGCTTCGCAGACGCAGAAAAACGAGAAGGTCTACCTTCAAACCTCGGTAAGAACCCAGGAAGCCAAAGTCTGAGATCATCCCATCTAGGACTGAGGTCAGACTTCGAGGGCCATCTCTGTGCCCACCCAGAGCTTGCTCCCAGCCTTGAAGGAATATGTGGGAGTCTCAGGAGTCTACTTTTAGGGTGTGAACTACGTTCAGTATCCATCATCAGCTCTGCTTCCCATCTGGTGTCAGGCAAGGGCACAGAGAAGCATGTGGGCATCTTTCCACCTGGCTATAACATCTTCCCAGCTCATTTAGAATCAGGAGACACCAACATTGGAACAAGAAGGGACCTATGGATCCTGGGTCTGGCATTGATGTCAACTCTGAGCCCCTCACACCTGGCAGCAGTGTTGGAGAGTCGATCTCCCAGGCTCTACTTCCAACCCAACATTTCAGGTCTGGGGCTAGGGACCCCACAACACACCAGAGCTCAAGAGCCCCTCAAACATGACTCCAGTGGATGTTTACAAAAGAAACTAAGGCCCAGAGAGTACGATGGTCTAACCCAAACTCACACAGCAGCACTCAGATTTCCCAATTCTTTTTAAAGATTTGTTTTATGTGTATGAGCGTTCTGCCTGCATGTGTGTCTCCAGACCACATTTGTGCTCGGTGTCCATGGAGGTCAGAAAAGTGTGTGGGTCCCCTGGAACTGGAGTCACAGACAGTTGTCAGCCATCGTGCAGGTGCTGGGAACCAGACCCAGTGAGCCATCTCTCCAGCCCCAGATTTCTCTATCCTTATTACTCAGAACATTGTTTCTGGTCCTCCAGTAGTCCTGAGAATATGCTGGCTTAGTTGATCAAGGACCCAGTTTTCAGTGGCATCCTCAAAGAGCCTGGGGGAATAAGGGACAGTACAGAGATTCCTGTGCCGTCCTCCTGGGGAACCAAGCTGCCCAAGGCTACCCTTTGCTGAGCTCCAAAGGAAGAAAGAAATTTCCCAGGCCAGTGCCTACCCCCACCCTCCACCCCCAGGGGAGATAGCTGCAGAACTGTATTCATGAAACAAAAATCCCATCTCACCTTGCCTGATGCCCTACCCCAGAGCCTCTCAGCTACTTCCTACTCCTATTCCCACAAACATGGAGTCAGGAAAGTGGAGGCTATCATTGTCTTTCCTGGCGCCAGTAAGGACAAAAGGCTCCAGCCAAACCTGAAGGGAGGGCCGGTGGGAACGGGCTCTTTCTTGATTTAGGAAGCAGCTGTTTTTTGTCTCAGGAAGTGGAACAAGGCCAACAGTGGCTGAGGGGAGTAAGGGAAAAGTCGTGAGGTGGGAGGGCAGGGTGTGCTGCGTGTAGGACTGCCACCATAGGTCACCTTCTGAGCCCAGCCTTCTGGGAAGGCCCACAATGGGGCCTGGCTCCCCACTGCAACCCCTCTGGACAGGGCTGCTTCCAACCTGGGGCACCTGAACTCCCCCTGCAGAGGTAGATAGGGACAAGAGAGAGCCCGGGGCAGTGAGCAGAGGGTCTCTGAGTAGCAGCCCCTTTCAGTGGAAGGTTAGAAATGGGTTCCTCAAAGGTCAGAGGCCACAGCCACCAGAACATAGCCAGCGGAGGATGTGCGCTTTGCTTGATTTTTATTTATTTATTTATTTATTTATTTATTTATTTATTTATTTTATTTGGCATTCTCCAGTCTTTGGCAGAGGCTGGAAGAAGAATAGGAGGGGTTGGGGATTTTCTTTGCACACATTTGCATCAAAGAAGGAAGAGGACACTTGTCCTGTAAGAGAGCCAAAGGAACTAGACATTCGTGGTGGCCCACACCTGACATCCAACACTCGGGAGACTGAGGAGGGAGGATTGCTATTCAAGGCAAGCCAGGGGTACCCATGATAGAGACAGAGGTATCAGAGGGCAGTGTGTGCTTGGTCCCTTGTCCTTCCTGTCAGGACAGGCGGTATTATTTCCTGCATTGTGTAGACACAGCAGCAGAGACACAGAGAAGGAATTCTATGTCCACAAGTAACCCAGCCTGAGAAAATCAGAAGTAGACCGAACTCTCCAGGGTCTGTGAAGCTGCATAGCCCGCATTGAAGTGCAAGGGTTAGAGCAATCCAGCCATCTGCACTGCCGGAAGCTGATCCCCCAGACTCCAGAAAAGGAACCAGCTTTCATCCCTAAGTATGGGTCAGCCACAGAGCAAATGTCTCCTGTGCTGTTTGTATTTGGTGAATCTTTGAGGCCCATGAAAAAGAGCTGACAGCCTGCTGTTCTCTGTGGTTACAAGCAAAGAAACAATACAATTAAAACAACCCATTTGGGAACTGACTGTAGCTCACTTGGTAGCAAGTCAGCAGCAACTGGGTGTGGTGGTGCACAATCTGTAACACTCACACTCAACAAAGTAGAGACAAGAGGATAAGAAGTAAGTTCAAAGTCATCTTCAGCTACATAAGTTCAAGGCCACACTAGGATTCCTGAGAATCCTAACTGAGAAATGTGCCTTTAATCCCAGTATCCAAGAAGTACCTGGATCTCTGTGAGTTCAAGGCCAGCCTAGTCTACATAGCCAGTTCCAAGTCAGTCAGGGTTATATATTGAGGCCTTGCCTTTAAAATTAATGTTATCTGGATATTATGACCCTGAGGAAAAAACATGTATTCTCATTTCATGGCAGAGGAGACCAAGGTCCCGAGAGTTCACAGCTTGCCAAGGGAACACCCACATGTAGAATATTGTGTGACCACAGAGCTGTGTCCTTTCTCTCTGACTATTCCAGGTTTGACTCTAAACCATGTATTCTGCCAAGAACGGCCTGTTCTGAGTTTTGATCAAATCTCTCTTACAGCCGCCGGGGAATGGCTGGATCCCTGAAGACTTGACGATAGACCTTGCCGTGTCTCCCGAACTTTTCAGAAACCCCAACCCTTCTGCTGTGTCTTCTCCTGAGACACAGAACCTCAGCCAGGTGTGGGCAGAAGGGCTCTGGAAGCCACACCATCTGACACCTCTGCGATAGGAAGGACAAGGCGGGGAGGGCTCTTTCCTCAGCATCCTCTTCCCCAGAAGCTAACTTCCCACATTGGTCCACCTAGCCTGTCAGAGCCATACGCCCACACCATTTTGTCAACCTCCAAATTTCACGGTTTCCTTTTCCATGTTCAGAAAACCCTTTTAATAGCTACTAGGTGTCCGTTTAAACAGCTCCCATCTGAGTCAGGCATGGTGGCCTGTGCTTGTAATGTTTGGGAGTCTGTGGTCCAAGGAAGGAGCTGGGGAATGGGAAGCCAGGCTACCTGGTGAGACCTTGTCTCAAAAAAGCTTACACCACACAGAGATGAGACGGGGCTGGGGAAGGCTCTGCAGCGCCCCCTGCGGATGACACTAGAAAAGCTAGCGAGATCTCCTCACCATCAGGCTCCGCCTTTCAACCTCACTGTCATCTCTCCAGTCTATAGAGGAAGAGGCAGCCGGTTTCCTGGACAGCAGCGAGGAGGACGTCATGGCACCCCCTCCCCTGCAGATGTCTACGGAGGAACTGGCCTTCTCCGAATTCATCTCTGTGTAACTGCAGGATGCCTCATGATCGGTCAGGCACTGTGAAGCTGTACAGCTGAGTTCGCATGGATTCGCAGCTCTACTCACAGTCCACGGCTCTGTCCACCTTCCTTCCGCCTCCCTTGCATGCACCAGAAGGAGAAGTGTCTGTGGACCCTGGAGCCCAGGATGGTACTTAACAATTGCAGCCAGAGGCTGGAACTTCCCCACATATCCTAATCCCTGGGAAGAGTCAATGGATGCCGGCCTTCAGCAGGGCCTGGCAAGGCTCCACAGATGAGTGCTGGGTTTGTGTGTGTTCCGGAAAATCCCCTGGGCACGGATACCCAACAATAGTCCCGCCTCCCATCCTTGGCAGATCCCACCTTCACGTCCTTCCAATTCTCCTGCATCAGGTGCTGTGGAGGAGACATCATATGTGTGTCTAGGAAACACCTGCATCCTGACCCTTTAGAAAATAATCAAAACAAAATTCTGCAGACCCATCAAGACTCACCCAAATAATCTCTAGGGCAGGGCCCGGGACTCCATAGTTCTAACAAGTGACCCACCGATTCCAACACTTAGGCCTGATGAATCCTCAGCCCCTTTTAGCTAGAGTCTTCCTTCCTTCCTTTATTCCTCCCTCCCTCCCTCCCTCCCTCCCTCCCTCCCTCCCTCCCTCCCTTCCTTCCTCCCTTCCTCCCTCCCTTCCTTCACTGTGGGAAGACCTATATGCTCCCTAGACCTCTGATCATGACACCATGGTCCTAGTAGGAGCTTCCTGATGCCTCCCTGTTCAGGCACACTATGGTGACAGCCAGCCCAAGGCAGCCAGGGATCAGCTGTTTTCCCATTCTCCTTCCCCAAGGCCCTGTATCCCTCACTTTGGGAAGACATTGGAGGAAGGCTTCTTATCATCCCTGTCCAGAAGGGTTACTCCTCATGGGGTCTGGAGGCTGGGGGAGAGGAGGAGGAGGAAACCAGAGTGGGTAGGAAGGAGGGAGGGGACAGGACGGGAAGACATTAGACTCTACTTACTAGAGGAGAACACTAAATCCAGACCTGCTGAGTGAGAGAAAGGCAGACTGGCTCAACTATTTTTTTTTCCTTTTTCTATTCTGTTTTGAAAAATAAGATGTTGGGAAGGAAGGTGTTCAGAATATAAAACAGAAATATAGGGAGAATACAAAAGAAGGGAGGCCGATGTTTTTAGGATCATGTGTAGCCTCGGCAAGCCCTGTTGACACTCTGACTGAGCTTGCAGAATCCTCCCCTCTCCGCCTTATGTTTGCAGATGCTCGGTTTACAGAGGGGTCATCTCACTCGCACCCCACGCTCTCTCTCATAAGCATCCCTCCATGCTCTGCAGACTCTGTACAATAAACTTTCTCAGCTGTGTAGTATTCCAGCATATAAGTGTGCCTCCATTTACCAAACCAGTTCTCTTCCTCTAGTTGTTTTAAATCTGCAGGGTAAATCTTTATGCAGGGGCTTTAACTGCTATTGGAAATCTCTAGAAGGATTTGCATGCATGGAAATATGATCCCGAAGAGGAGAATGTTTCTTCTTTTTGTAACCTTTCCCCAGTCCCTTTGCTTCTCCTCTGGCTTCCCCTTCCTCCCATCTACTGGAGGGATGGCCTAGTAGGGAAAGTGTTTGGTGTGTAAGCAAGAGGACCCGAATTCAGGTCCCTCAGAAAAACATCCTTGCACGTCTGTAGCCCCAGTACTAGAGTGGAGTGAGGATGGTGAATCCCAGGAACATGTTAGCCAAAACATCAATCTCTAGATTCAGTAAAAGACCATCTCAAAACTACAAGAAGACACTGATGTAGACCTCTGGGCTGTGGAGGTTCACACAGGCAAGAGCGTACACACACACACACACACACACACACAGAGAGAGAGAGAGAGAGAGAGAGAGAGAGAGAGAGAGAGAGAGAGAGAGAGAGACTGCATCTACAAGAACACAGACCATGCATACATTAACACATTAAAGATTAGGATAAGCAGTGCCCTCAGGCAGTCAAACAGCAGGGTATGCTCAAAAAAGTTCATCCGGGCAGACTTTCAAACCTTACAGAGTAGCACACACCTGAAATCCCAATATTTAGGAGGCTGTGGTAGAAGAATTCCAAGTTCTAGGCTAGTCTGTGATGCATAATAAGACACTGCCTCAAAACACAACATAAATTACAGCTTGGTTGTGTTTAAGAGGAACTGATGGGGACTGGAGAGATGGCTCAGTGGTTAAGAGCACTGACTGCACTTCCTGAGGTCCTGAGTTCAATTCCCAGCAACCACATGGTGGCTCACAATCATCTGTAATGGGATCTGATGCCCTCTTCTGGTGTGTATGAAGACAGTGACAGTGTACTCATATTCATAAAAATTTTAAAATAATAATAATAAAAGAGTAACAGGTAGATGAGAATGCCCTCAACTGTAAAATGGCACACTTGCTAGGTGTCAATTTTTTAAATTGTATTTTAAAAAACTAATTTAAAACAAACAAACAAACAAAAACTAATAAGGAAAAAGATCAGGTGTCATGGCACATGCCTTTAATCCTATGATGTAGAACCAGGTGGATCTCTGTGAGCTATAGGTCAGCCTGGTCTACATAGTGAGTTCCAGGACAGCCAGGGCTGTGTAAAGATCCTGTCTCAAAAAAAGGGGAGAGGATAATAACTTCTTTCAGATTATCTGTCTTTGATTTAGGAAACTATTTTGATGCAGATTGGAAGCTAAAAAGAAGTTCCATCCATCCCAAAAGTGTGGGGGTATTATGGGGGGGGATTAACAGTGTCCGGCAAACCTGGTCCCACATTTGTGTCACCTGGGGAGCTTCTTAAACAAACCACCCCCCAGAGTCCATGCTCAGTGGCACAGAGATCTTCTGCGTGCTGCTCATTCATCCACAGCACAGAGGAAGACTACATTTCCCAGCCTCCCATTCCATCCTGGGGCTGAGGACTAGGTTCTGCTGTACAGGTGGCCTCAGAGAATCTGCGGTGCTAATGGTGGGGTGATGTGTGTCACCATTCCCTCCTGAAGAACTCCAGGTGGGGAGGAACACAGATCCCCTGAACCACATACACTCTGGGGGTGGTAGTGGTTGTTCTGGGGATCAAAAGACTAATGTTTTAGTGTCTTCTCCTGCCCTAGGGCAAGCACCTAGACCCCATGAGCATTCTCACTGAGAGACTGTGGTGCTTGTACAGAGCATATGCCCAAGGTCTTGGGAGGTAGGGGTGTCTGCTGAAGGCTACACAAGTCCCTGGTGGAGTCATGTAGATTGATCATGAAGTCCCTGAGTCCATGGTCCCCCTGATGCTCACCAGCTCCCAGGTATAAGCACTTAGAAGGAGCCTCATCTGCAGATAGGAGGAGGAAGTCACCATAGCAGACACACAGATGCATGTCAGTCCATCCTCCATTCTGGAATAATTTATGCTGTATTCTCTAACCCTAGCCTTCTCCCAAATCCATCTCCTCAACCCCAACCAAAGACAAACAGAGTCAGAAACACTTGCTGTCACGTTTAATCAAAGGAAAAGAAAGAAAACACGAAAATTAGATGGCTGGGGGTGGGGGGAAACAGAGGGACAGCAACGAGCTGGGACTGAGTGTGGACCATGGCGGGGGCGGCGGGGTCCTCCTTCTCCTGAGGTCCCCAAATACAAGAGGCCATGGTGGGAGGGAAGGAGAACAGAGTCACAGAGCTAGCTTGGTGGGCACAAACATATCTCTAACCCAGCCCTGTGCCAGGCGAGCTGAGGAGGCTCACAGCCTCTGTTCCCTCCTGGCCAGTGCTTGGACAGGTTGTAGAGCCAGGCTCGGGGAAAGAGAGAGGTAGGAGGCTGTTCAGAGAGGAGGGGCCCTTGTACATTACTAGAGAGGAGGATGTTGGGATTGATACCACGCTGGATATCCAGGGAAGAACTAGTACCAACTCTCCAGCATGTTGCCCGGCAGATCTCTATCAGAGGCCATGGTCTTTTGGTTGGGGGGCTTTGTGGGTTAATCAAGGGGGGTCAGGGGCTGTCATAAATGCTTCTCTAACCCTGCACTCATCCTCCAGGGGAAGAAAGAAGCAGGACAGTCCCCTTCGGCTAAGTAAGGGTCAGGGTCACAGCAAGATATTGAACTAAAGGAAAGGACATTGATTGACTAAAGGAAAACCACGTAGGTGATAGAGCTATGCAAATGAGCAGTGGGCGGGCCCACCTCTAGTCTCCTCTGCACATCTGATGCCAATGCAAATGAGATTCCTAATATAATAAATATATTTCTAGCATTTGTAATAAATATTCTGTCTATTCTCCCTCCCTCCCCTTCCCTAGGAAATGGGCACACAGTGGTTCAGGGACGAGCTTGGGCTGACAGTGCAGCAAAGACTGATGCTCAGGAGAACTGGGAGGCACAGGGTGGAGGTGCCAGGGGGTCTCCTGTGAGGACATGGAGCCCCTCGAGAATGAGGAATGAAATGTCTCCAGATGTCAAGGATGTGGTTCTTAGAAGGATTATCCTATTTTACAAAATCACCCTCCCCAAGGGCTAAAGGCTGGTACTTCGGATAAGGGAAGATGGGAGAGTGGAGGAAGATCTGGGCTCTGGAGTCTGGAATGGGGGTTTGTAAGAAATGGTGGAATTGAGGGAAACCCAAAGGGGACCTCAAAGAGCCACCTCCAAGAGAAGGCAATCCTCTGCCTCCCCTCAAACTAAACCAAATGTGTGCATATGCATGTGCAACACACACACACACACCAAGGCCAGAAACACAGACCAGCACCATAGCAGTGGAGCCACAGGCTGCCCACCTGCAGTGCCAATGGCACCCCCAGGGTTGTGTGGCAAGTGCCACTAAAGCTAATCTGTTTCCAAGCCCCTCTCACAGTCTTCCCACCCCTCCTCAGCCCTGATGCCAATGGGTCACCTAGTTCCACCCAGAGAGAAACCTGAAGTGAATGGGACCTGTCCTGGGCTGTGAGCCTGGGGTACTTTTTGGTCCCAACAATAGGGGGTTTAGCTTTCTAGCCCCTGTTTCCAACCTGGGCTAAGCCTACTGCCACCAGCCAGCTGTAAGTTTGAGGGGCAGGGCTTACAAAAGAGGGACACATTGAGAAAGTCTGTGGAGAGACTTTGGCAGTGAGAAGCTTGGAATAAGAAAGGGACCAGACTATGTTTGCTCCTTGGGGAGCTGAGGCCTGCATCACCAGCTACAGCAACTGGCTCATGACAGGGTGCTCCCAGCCTCTACAATGGCCCAGACTGGCACCATTACCTGGGTCTGCCTCTGCCTAGCTACCAGTGGTCTAAGTACCTGGCCATATAGGAACAGCCCAAAACTGTTTCTAGGACTAGAGTAAGGGGTAGGAGGGGCCAGGAAACAAGATGGTTGTAGCCAGTCCAGAGAAGTAAAGGCTGGCAGGGTCACAGACCTACTGACCACAAGGCCCCAAGCAGCTCTGCTCGTCCCTGGACTAAGAATTACAGAAGTGATCTGAGACATTCCTGGACACAGCATGGTCCTTAGAAAGGGATGTCTGGTGGCCAGTAGACATGGGGAGTGGGCAGCACCTGGGTACAGAGGTACCCCATGAACACCTACCTCCCTGGCAGTGCACACCTCTATACCGAAGCCAGCCCCTGCTGGGAACTGTGGTCCAGGGAAAACCAGAGATGGGGGATGAAGACCATTAGCAGGATGGGGGAGGATCACAGGTGGAGAGGAAGTTGGATTCCCGACCAGGCAGTAACAAGGTCCAGAGCAAGACTCAGTACACCCAGCTCACAGGCACCCACTGCGGCTCCGTGCGAAGCTTCTCCATGGCAGTCTGAAGCTCACGGAAGGTCCTTTCCAGGTTGCTGTTGACCAGGCTGAGGTCGAAGTAATGCCCATAGCCCCTCTGGATGCGGCTACTCTCCTCCACTGTCCGCCTCAGATCTGCCTCCTGTGCCACGCAAGGGGCTTTGGTCAGCACCTCCAACTCAGCCCCATCATTAGAGGGATCTGCAAGCTGCCTACCTCACCCCAACGTTCAGCCACAGTGACACAGATCCCCTGTACCCCGCCCCCCAGCTCCTGGATCAAGCCCGGGTGGATGGAAGTGAGAGAAGGAGGGAAGGAGAGAGGATGGGAAGGATGGGGGGGAATAGAAGGAAGGAAATACAATGTTGTAAATGACAAGTTGGGAACTAACCATTTGGCCACCCACAGGCTCTTCACCACAGCTCCGTAAGGGAGGGTCAATTATCTCCCCCTAATCACAAAGCTCAGATACTAAGAGGTCACAGTGAGTCAATGGTTCCACAGAGATCTGCCTGCCTCTGGCCAGCGATCCCTTCAGTCTGACCAAACCCCTTTCTGTAACTATGAGGTGGCATTAGAACTTACCAGATACCAAGACAATCCCATGAAAGAACAAGTTAACTCCCACCCCAGATATAAGGAAGCTCTCTGGGAAGGAACTAGACCACTGACTTAATGAAGCTGAGGGTAGCTGTGTCCCAGAGGCCATAGCTGTATTTATTGCCAGGGCCATGGTGGCCAAGGTCATCAGAAGATGCAAGCCCAATCTAGGCATGGAGCAGGGGAGTCTGGAGCTCAGAGCTCGGCAAGCCCTATTCCTGGGGGAATGCTGTGTCAAGGTCCAAGTTTCCTCCAGAAACTTCCCCTGGCCATCTCTGTCCCCTAGATCTTCCACTGGCTTCCTCTGGCCAGCACTGTCTCTGTAGAGTGTACCACATGGTAGCCTGAAAACAGTTCTGTGTCCCTGGCTCCATCTGAGTCTTTGGGCACCGTGTTCTCTCAGCCTTTCCTTTTCACACGTACAAATCATGGCCTGAAGTCCTACCTCTCTTGAGCTCCACCACCCCAGGCCACCAGCAAACCCTTTCCCAGCAGCTCCGAGCCCCTCACCGTCAGCTGCTTAGTGGACACGCCGCTCTCCAGCGCAGCCCGGTTCATGGCCCGCAGGGTCTCATAGTCAGGAGCCTCAATGAACACCACGTAAGGGACAAACTCAGCTGTCCTCAAGACCTTCACCGCCTGCAGGAAAAGAGGGTGGGCCCACATCTTCACGTGTGCTGGGAACAGGAAGGATGTGTGGGTGACGGAGTGGACGCCTGAGAGTGGATGCTTGAGCTGCCTGGGATTCTGGGACCTGCGTCCTGAGAATAGTAAGTGGCCGGCAGGGGGCAGCTGTGTGACTACTAAAGGAGATCTAGGTGGCCTGGGAAGTGACAGGAAAGAGAAGGGCTAGAAGTACCTGCGGGTTGACATCCAGCACGCACACCTTGCCAGAGGCAACAACGCCCCGGATGGAGTCGATCCGTGTGCCATACAGATTGCCCTCATACTCGCCATGCTCCAGGTAGCGCCCGGCACGGATGTCAGCCTCCATCTCCCCACGAGACACAAAGCTATAGCCCTGCCCCTCCCGTTCTGAGTCCTTGGGCCTCCGGGATGTGTCTGGAGAGGGAAGGCGGGGCTAATTAGTGAGGCAAGCCACCTTACCTAAAGCAGACACCGGTGGGTTCCACGGGGGTTGCGTGATCTCAACCCTAAAGGCATAGCCTCCAGGAATGACCCCCCACCCTGACCTCCTGCGGTCCCATCACCAGGAAGCCCTATCTGCCGTAAGACCACATACAGTACGTCCCTGTTTCACCAGACCCGAGGTAGACACTCACTTTTAAAACAACAACAACAAAAACAAACAAACAAAAAAACTTTGTGGAAGTAAAAATCTGAGAGAAGAAATCCTGATATAAAGCCAGCCCCTTCACCGGATCCCGAGTCTGCAGTTTCCCGCATCCACCTACAGAGGGCGCACACTACACACCCAAAGGAATCACCTGACCTAGTGCTCCTCAAGATGCTCTCAGCGCTGCTCAGCACCCCTCCTCGACCATTCCCTCCTTCCCTCCGCCCCACCCAGGACACACCCACCCTCGGACCTCCCGCTCCACGGCCCCCACTTACAGGGCACTGTGGTGCCGTAGCGATCCGGATCCCACAGAATGAGCTTATTTTTCAGGCTGCGCCGGCCCACACCCTGTGCGCCAATCAGCACCAGGGTTTTCCTGCGGAATGGGGGCATGCGGGCCACCTCCTCGTAAATGAGCAGCTCATGGCGGTCAAATTCTGGGGATAGAGAGATGGAGCTGCTCACCAGGCTGCCCCGTGTGGGAGGGCAGGGACTCTCAGAATGCATCAAGGGTAAAAGCGGCCTGGGAAACAGGAAGGAACTGGGCAGGCCTAGGAGTGAGGCTGGCAGTATCTGAGGCAGAGTAAACTCACGAGTCACATGTTAGACAACTGGGGCAAGAATTAATACCCACCTGCATTCTTGGTAGTCAAATACATCATTCGCTTCTTTTTCTTTCCTGAAAGGCTGCCACATAGGGTCCCTGGCCACAAGGAAATAAGTAAGCAAGCAGGGCCATGCCAGGTTTTAAACCGAGGCCTGAGGTTAAGGAAGGGACTCCTACCTGAGGTCGGGGTCAGTTCCAGGTCCCGCTTGACAAATGCTTTCCGCTTCTCCTCCAACAGCTGGCTGGGAATGAGCCCGGCACTGCCCCCTTCTACATGGCATGCCTGAAATGTCACATGCCAAAGACCTACCTAGGTAAGAGGACCCTTCCCTGAACCATACTTGGAGACGTTTCAGGAGTGCCCCAGGCTCACCTGCCACCAATTGGCATCATCTTGGTTTACAATCTGGAGCAAGTCCCCGGCATGGAAGCGCAGGCCTGCCTCCTTGCAGGGAATGAGACTGTCCCGGGCAGGGTCATAATCGAAGTGGCATTTAACAAATACCTGAGCCCAGGGATTTGAAAAGAGTCACTGTAATGAACAGAGAGCACAGCCACCCCCTGCCTGCCATTCCCCCTCCCTGGAGCGGTGATATCTCCAGGCCTGCCTACCCTGCCTTGCTGGTACTCTCCTTAGCAACTGGAACTAAGAGATTCAGATTGAGCGATTGGGAAACTACCCAAGGCTGGGTTGGGGTGGGGGGGTAAGGGGGGTAAGGAAGCCAGCCTCATATAGGGGTCACCTAATCCTATATTCTTCCTTCCAACCTCCAGGAGGACAGAGCTCTCAGAGTTCAAAAGCCAAGGAGGAGGTGAACAGCACCCCAATGCACCAATGAGGAAGCAGCTACCAGGGCAGGTGAGAACCCCACCTTACACAGGTGTGCAGGCTGAGCTCTTGCACACACACACATACACACACACAAGGTGCAAAGACCACAGTGATCTGCATCTCTGTGCACACTCAGGACACTCAATCTCTTGCACACTCAGGTAGAACCTCCTGGTCACAGAAGCTCACATCCCTTGCACATGTGCGTGAATGCCTACATGTAAGACAGGTTAATGTGTGGCTATGTGTCTCACTTGGAGGCTGTGTGGCGTAGTGAGTGGCACCTGCCTGCAGCTCCTGCTGTCTCTTTGTCCCTTAGGTGAATAGCGAGAGACCTGAGAGCTTCGGTTAAGAGGCTCAGCCGTCCCTCCAGCTGGGTGGGGCCGTCCCTTGGGCCTGAGCTGGGTGGGGTTCAGGCAGAGGCCCACCTGTCGGGGCAGGTGGGGTTCCTGGTAGCTGGGCAAGATCTTGAGGATGACACTGCCACTGGCGCTGCGCAGGAGCTCCTGCAGTGCCCGGGGATCGCTGCCCACTGGCTGCCCGTTCACTTCCTTGATGATGTCACCAACGTGCAGCAGGCCTTGCTGAGCTACCATGCCCCCGTGCAGAATGCGGGCAATCACCAGCTCGCCACCCTCCACTCGGAACGTCACACCCTGAAAGATCAAAGTGCAAAGTAAGCCCAGCTCTGTCTCCAAATGGGGCTCCCGGTGGCCCTCCCATTCCTGTCCCCATCCTCATCTCCACACAAAAAGTCTTCTACTGTTGTCTTACGTCTTATAGACACAGCCTGGAGAGGATCCTGAGGGAGGATGAGTGTGTGTCCGTGTGTGTGTGTGTGTGTGTGTGTGTGGTGTGTGTATTTATGGTATGTGTATAGTGTGTGAATGTGTATGCATCATGTATGTGTGTATGGTGTATGTGTGCCCATATGTATAGTGAGTATATGTGTATGTATGGTGTGTATGTGTGTATGATATGTGTGTGTGTACCGTGCATTTATGGTGTGTATATGGTAAGTGTATAGTGTGTGTGTATCCATATGTATAGTGTGTATATATATGGTGTGTATGTATATATGGGTGTGTGTATAGTATGTGTGTATGGTATATGTATAGTGTGTGTGTCCATTATGTATAGTGTGTGTATGTGTATGTATGGTGTGTGTGTGTATAGTGTGTGTGTGTGGTACGTATATATATTTATGTGTGGTGTGTGTGTGAGTGTGTGTGTGTGATATGTGTATACTGTGTGTGTACATATGTATAATGTGTTTATGTGTATGTATGGTGTATGTGTGTGTTTGTGTGTGTGTGTATGTGTGTATGTTGCATGCTCCTAAGTCCTGCAGGTGCTCTCTAGAGCCAACCTAGGCCTAGTCTTTAACTCCCACCCACCCTTTCTCTCTTCCCATGGGTGATTCTCAGTGCCCTCTCCCGCACAAGCCTCTGGCCCTCACCAGATGTTCTCCTGCAGTCTTTCGGATGCCCACCATGCGCACTGCATCAGGAGGTACTGGCTGGTTGCTGAATGTGGGATCCAGACCTGGGCTGGGGGGTGGTGTCTCATAGGTCTTTGAGGCCACTGAGTCATGTGTCTCCAGGAGGGACTAAAGAGGGATGGAAGAAAAGGGACAATGTGGAAATGCCCAGTACTCAGCTTCCAGACCAGGTTCCAACTAGGAAGCCGCCCACCCCGTCCCACCCCACCCTCAGCAGCCCGCAGCTGGGAACCCACCCAGCCCCACCCACAGCAGCCCACAGCCTGGGACCTGGAAGTGGGGCTCCTGGAGGATGCGTGCCAGCTCTGCAGCAGTGCTGCTCTGTTCTGCCAGCTCTGCCAGGTCCCGAAGGATTTCCTGCACCAGCTCCAGGTTGTTATCCCGAACTGCCTCCAACTTTGTCTCCTCCAGCCGCTCGTGGGCCTGGGGTGTGGAAGCAGTGCAGATAAAGCCACTCAGGAGTCCCCAGATGCCACACAGAACTCCTCTGGCTCCAAGCCCCTAATCCCCACTCATAACATCAATCTGGGTCCTGCATCAACTATTGCAAGTCATAAACTCTCTCTCTCTCTCTCTCTCTCTCTCTCTCTCTCTCTCTCTCTCTCTCTCTCTCTCATTTTCCTGTGTACTTTGTTTTCCTTTCTCCAGCAAGTGATTATTGATGGACAGGACAATCCGAAGACAGACTTCTATTTCCGTCTTCTTGACGTACAGGGTCACCAAAGATGATCAAATTGTCCCCATCTCCTGAGATAACATAAGTACACGTGGTCACCATCATAGTTGGATGACACCTTAAGTACCTTGTAGTCCAAGATCAGAAAGCCATGGAGGTAAAGCAACTTTCCCAAGGTCATAGACTTGAACCTGGGTCTCCAGGCTCAGTGCTTCCTATGTGGACGAGACAAGATGTGCATGTGTAGGTGTGTGTGTTGTAACATGCACATGGAGATCAGGGGATAATTTCCTGGAGTCAGGTAAAGGCACTTGACATGAAGGCCTGGAAACCTAAGTTTGTTCCCTGGAACCCACATAAAGGTGGGAAGAGAGACAAGAACTGACTCTACAAAATTATCCTATAACATACACACCCACACATATACATCTTGCATGCTTCATAATACTTTTTTTAAAAAAATACATATCCTTTAAAGAAACCTGTACATGAAGTTAGAAGAAAGCCTTGCATCTACGTGTTGCTACGCTCTAGAACAAGGGGACCTGAAAGTGGATAAAGATCCCATTTCCAGCTGATAGGGACGGTTACGCTGGGTAATGCAGCAGTGCCATTCTGAGATCTAAAGGGACACAAACACTTCCCTGATGTTCATGTGAAAGATAGCCACAGGCACAAGTTACTTCACCCCAGAGTACATGAGCCCCCTTCGCTCCATAAACCATTGTGCCATTCGTACACACAAAAAAGTGTAATGTAATTACATATGGTAATATTACCTAATAATCCATGCTCAATGTTCATCACTGTTCCAAAAGCATCCTTTATAATTTAGTTTTTCTGATCCAAGACCCTACTAAGGATCATATGCTGCTTTTGGTCATTGGGTATGTTTATTTTTCTTTAATCTAGAACATCTCAGTGGTTTTCAGACTTTTAAAGAGTCTGGGCAGTGATTCTCAGTGGGTCACAGCTGGACTCATCTGACTTTTTTTTAAGACTTGGTTAAGCATCTGGCAGGAGTTTTACATGGGAGAGCTGTGTCTCTCCCACGCTTTAAGGCTGTGTGACTGTCCTGGTCCCCAATGATCCTTCCCCATGGGATCTGGCATCCACTCATGACCCTTCCTGAATCTGTTATCCTCTTCAAAGCTGCTCAGCAGAGTACCTGCCAACCTTCCACATTTTGATTGGCATTCTCCTGGGAGAGAGCACTTTCCTGGGGCTGGGGGCTAACTCAGACTAAAGCCCTCCTCACTCAGGCGTAGGGACTTGAGTTCGGATCCTCAGAACCCATGTGCATACTGGGCTGGCAGCATATGGTCTGCCATCCCAGCCTTGAAAGACGAGAGACAAGGGCTCCCCAGAACAAGCTGGCCAGAGAGGACACACAGGTGAAGGAGGTCTAGGCTTGCTTGAGAGACCCTCCCTGCCTCAGCGAGCAGTGGGGAGCAATGGAGGAGGACTCTTTACCTCAACCTTGGGGCTCCCACATATGTGTATGTGCACCTACCCATGTGCACCTACACATGTGTGCCCACAAACATATTAACCATGTAGACACACACACACGAGAGAGAGAGAGAGAGAGAGAGAGAGAGAGAGAGAGAGAGAGAGAGAGCGCTTCCCTCCTGAGTATTGTTTTGATCCACTGATAGTTTTACTTAAATACAGCCCTTCTCACTTGTCTCATGTTGTGTCTTTTTTCTTTTTCTTTCTTTTTTTTTTTTTTTTCGAGACAGGGTTTCTATGTGTAGCCCTGGCTGTCCTGGAACTCACTCTGTAGACCAGGCTAGCCTCGAGCTCAGAAATCCGCCTGCCTCTGCCTCCCAAGTGCTGGGATTAAAGGCGTGCACCACCACTGCCCGGCTCATGTTGTGTCTTAAGGCAGTTTTTTTTTCTTTTTCTTTTCCCCTTCCCCTTCTCACTCTTGCTCCAGCCACACTGGCTCCAGGCCCCTCTCACTCATATGAGGGCATCAGATCTCATTACAGATTATTGTGAGCCACCATGTGGTTGCTGGGATTTGAACCCATGACCTCCTCCTGGGGGAGTAGTCAGTGCTCTTAACCGCTCAGCCATCTCACCAGCTGGGCAGTTTTTATGTTTTATGGCAGAGTTAAAAAGTTGTAAAAGACTATATAGCCTGAAAAACCCTATACTACTATCTATACCTTAGCAGAAAAATTGGGTGATTTTAAAACTGTTTTATTCATGTATGTATGTGTCTGTATATATGTATATGATAACAGACTCCATTATATTTTATATATTTTTTGTATCTTATGTATCTGAGTGTTTTGCCAGTATGTCTTTGTACCTCACGAAAGCAGGGCCTCAGATCAGAAGGTGGCATTAGATCCCCTCCTGACTCTGGAGTTACAGTTGTAAGCTGCCACATGTGTGCCAGGAATCAAACCCAGGTCCTCTAGAAGAGCAGCCAGGGCTCTGATCAGCTTCCCAGGCCTGTATTATGAATTTTGATCATATTCGCTCATTTCCACCCTATCTCGGCTCCTTCCCACTCCCAGGGATCCCCTCCTCCTCCCAACTGGTTCCCACTACTCCCGTGTATTGTTCAATTTGTTTGTTGAGTGAGTCAGTGAGTTCAGTCAGGACTGCTTGGAGCAGTGGTTTTCAGCCTTCCTAATGCTGTGACACTCTTACACAATTCCTCATGTTGTGTGCCCCACCCTGCCCCCAGCCATAAAGTCATTTTTGTTGCTACTGTTAAGAATTGAAATATAAATATCTGGTATGCAGGGTATCTGCTATGCAACCCTCCGAGGGGTTTCGGCCCACGGGATGGCTTAGAGGCTCACGGGTGAGGTCATTTACAGAAGCATGGGGGACTTTCCCAGTGCCTACCACTGAAGAAAATCCCCCTGAGCAATCATTGGCCTAGAGATGCCCACAGAGCCTGGGGAAGGAGAGTCAAGAGTCCTCTCTCCTCCCATCCCCCACCCCACCACCTCCTTTGATCTTTTACTTAGTGGGTTTTATGTATTTCTATAAATATCTCTCTTGTTTGTCTTGTGCTCGGGTTTGGGCTTTGGCTAGTTGTTTTTGAGAAAGGGTCTTGCTACGTATCCCAGACTGTTCTCAAACTCTAATATCCCTGCCTCGGCCTCCCTCCCAAGTGCCGGATCACAGGTGTGGGCCGTGACGCTAAGTCCAGCTTCATCCTCACCGGCTTGTTTTCTCCAAGGGTAGCATCCACACCTGTGTCTTGTTGACAGGCGTCCATCCATCTGAGAGCTCCCTCTTCCACCATGATACATGCTCATGCTCACCTAATACTTTCCCTAACCCAGGTCAGGGACCAGCGCTTCTCCAGGGAACAGAGTCCTTTGTCTGGGGAATGGAATTCAGAGACCAAGACTGGCTCTCAGTCCTTGCTGCTTCTTGTGTACTGTTTATTTTAAACTGAATTTTATTACCTCACTGCATGTGTGTGTGTGTGTGTGTGTGTGTGTGTGTATGTGTGTGCGTGTTGGTGTCAGTCTACCACAGCACACGTGTGGCAGTCAGAGGACAACCTCATGGAGTCGGGTCTCTCCTTCCACATTTCCTTGGGTTTCAGAGTTCAAACTCAGGTCAGCCAGCTTGCATGGTCAGCACTTTACCCCTAAGCTATCTCACTGGTCTCGGTGTGCCATTTCTGTAGTAGTCAATATTGACAGCTCCCATTAAAATGACTCTCCAGGGAGTCCTTATCTTTCTCCACTCTGTGTCCCCACCTCCTCTCTTCCAACCATAACAACCACTGAACTTTTTACTCTGCCCTTCAGATCTACTAAGTGAGAGTCCAGATCATCTAGAGCTCCCTTTGGTGTTTTAGGGGAGTGTCTTGTTTGTTTTGGGTTTTCAAAAACAAGGTCTTGCTTTGCATACCAGGCTGTCCTTGAATGCATAGAGACAGGCCTGCATAGGCCTCCTGACAGCTCTCTGTCCTTACAAGCTTGGCATGTCCAAGACAGATTCACACGTGGGAATGTTCTCCGTGTTGTCTATCATGGAAGCCACTAGACATATGTGGTGGTGAACACTGAACGTGTGGCTGCGGATCTGAGAAACTCAAAGTTTTCTGTTTTGTTTTGTTTTTGGAGACAGGGTTTCTCCCTGTAGCCCTCCCTGGCTGTCCTGCAACTCGATCCGTAGACCAGGCTGGCCTCAAACTCAGAGATCTGTTTTCTCTGCTTCCAGAATGCTGGGATTTTGTCTTTTTAAGCATTATCTGGGTGCATTTTGATTGTTATAACCAAAAATAACCTGAGGCTGAGGGCTGGGAGCCTAGCTCAGTAATAGAATCATACATGCTTGGAATGTGCAAGGCCCATCAAAACTAACAACGTCAACAACAAAACCACCTTGATGTTGAGTAAGGTAGAAACAATAGAATGTTACTTCTTGGGCTGGAGAGACGGTTAAGAACACTGGCTGCTCTTACAAAGTGATCCTGGTTCAATTCCTAGCATCCACATGGCAGCTCACAACTGTCTTTAATTCCAGTTCCAGGGGATCAGACACCCTCACACAGACATACATGCAAGCAGAATATCAGTGTACACAAAATTAAAATAAATAAGACATTTTTTAAAAGTTCTTTCTTACAGTCTTGCAGGCCAGAAGGTTAGAGGCCACTCTGTTCAGTGTCTGAAGAGGCCCTTCCCTCCTACGGCTCATGAGGAGGTCAGAAGGCTTTAAAAAGAACCACATTAATTCTTTCCAGCAGCCTGTAAAGTTG